GGGTGAAGTACTCCTATGAATAAAACCCTGGCTGAGTAATTGCTGAATCTGATCCCTTCACTCTCGCATCTCTACTGGTGCCATCCTATACGGTGCCCTAGCAGTAGGTGTAGTGCCTGGACCTAAGTCAATCACAAAGTCGATCTCGCGACTAGATGGTAACCCTGGAATCTCCTGAAATACATCCGAAAAATCCTGTACAATTGGTATGCTATCCAAAAATACAGTAATCCCTTCCTCCGTTTCCTCCTCCGTATGGAACAAATACGTGCTAGTGACCCCGTTCAAACGTGGCATAGCGATGACGTACATATCCTGACCAGGTATGGTAAAAACAACCGCCCTATCATAACAATCAATTTAGGCATAGTAATGCGATAACTAATCCATCCCAAGTATCACATCATAAGTGTGTATGTCCAGGACCAAAAGATTGGCTAGAAATATGAGTCTATCAATATCTAGTGTCACAGGCCCATCACTCTCGTGTAGAATGGCTGTATTGCCTAACGGTGTAGAAATACCCTGAGGTCTACTGCATACCCATGTCGTCATCCTAGATAAAGTAACAAAAGATCTAGCTACAAATGAGTGTGTAGCACCTGTATCAAATAAAACATGACCTTTTGAACCATGAATAAGAAACATACCCTCAACAGCCTGAGGTGCCTGAATATCCTAAGGCTGCGGCAATGCCGGTAATGCCGGATATGTCTGTCCCTGAATCCGTGGAACCTATGGAACGGATAAAGGTACTGGTGCCCTCTGTCCCTGCTGCACATGCTGTCCCCGTCCCTGTCCTTCTTTAGGACACTACCTGGAAGTGTGACCATACTCTCCATAAGTATAGCAACTACCCTGGAAAGTACCAAATGTCCTCCTCTGGTGGTTAGCCTGTGGCTGACCCTGTCCTGCCTATGGTCCCCCATTCTGCTGTCGCTGAATAGGTGCCCCATCCCTGTGAGCATCCGAACCACCCTTATGCTTCTTCCAAGATTGTTGTCCCTGGAATTTGCCTTTGTCATTCTGTCGGTGTCCGTTGCCATTCCCTTTCTCAGCTGACTGAGTAGCAGAGTCTCTGTCACCCCGCTCTCACCCTTGGCCTGTCTGAAATCCACAGTCAACTGATACTGCTATAGAGCAGTGTCTACCACCTAAGCATAAGTAGTATAGGCTAGACTACCTATAATAGCTCTCTTGATAGACCACATCAGTCCCTTAGCAAAACTATTGCACTTCTTCTCCTCTGTATCCACCTCTTCCGGTGCAAAAAGAGATAAACGCGTGAACTGCTACTCATACTCTGCCACTATCATATTCCCCTGCTACAGATTAAGGAACTCAGTCTTCATAGCTGCCCTGACTGCATAAGGGAAGTACTTCTCATCAAAGCAAGTACTGAACTGATCATAAGTCAATGACACCCTCTCCTCTATGGTGGTAAATGACTTCTACCACTGTAGTGCATCCCCAACTAGCTTAAAGGTACCAAGCCTCTGCTTCTGAACCTCCCTGCACTGAACCAGATGAAGATGTCACTCAATATCCTTCTTCCACTGATGAGTTGTTTTCGCATCGGTGGAGCCTGTGAACTCAGGTGGGCTCCCCTTTGTGATAGAACTCCTAGCCTTCTCCCAAGTATCAGTCTGAACAACCGGTGCTGGTAACGGTGCCGGCTGTACCTGAGGCTGATTTCGAAGTGCAGCTATTACCCCTACTTCTATAGCCCGAGCAATGAGGTTGTTGATATGAGAAGGATACTCTGGACCCGAGTCTGCTGAACTTCCTCCTGCTCCTCCTGAAACTGACCATCATCATACTGGAACCCAGGCATTTGCTGCTCTTCCTCCATTTGCTGACGTCGCAGGCGTTCCTGTTGCGTACATGCCGCTCTCCTCTGTCGACCGTTCATGTTCTGTCCTCTTCTAGCGTTAACCATGCTGTTAACATAGAAAGATAGACATCAATACGAGTTTAAACGAACCGTAAAGGAATACAATGAATCTTAAACTTAAGCTCTAATCAAAAGAAAACGCTACGCGGAAGTCTTAATACGAAACATCCTAGAAACACTTGAACCTGGAGTGCTCTGATACCAACTGTGATACTCCTCGGATCCGAGACACGGGTATATCAGGCCCAAGCCCAAACCCGAGGGAATATCAAATAATTAATATTTTAAAACAAACACAGAATATAAAAAGATTTAAGAATTTAAATAATGAAACCGAAAGAAAAATTAAATATAAAATCCTCCAAATGATAATGAATAATAATAATCCAATTCTCCAAAACCTCCAAGAGTACAACTTGGGAATCCATCTAGCGGACCCCTAAACGAAAATCCCCACTAAACTGAATAACTAAAAATTAAAACCAAACTAGAACATAGAGAAAAGTCCTACGTAAGCAGATGAATGAGAGACTATCCCCGACAAGCACGATCAAGCTCTAAGGCTGGAACCGTCCTGTACCTGAAAAGAATAAAAGAGTAGGTTAAGCCACACTAAGGGGCATTCACTGGACTACAAAGGGGTCTCAACCTGAATAGAAGGCAACATACGAAAACACACCCATAAGTGGGCATGAATACCTAGACCTAACAAGGTACACCTCAACCTAGCATAGCTAGCTACACATCCACTATATATACGCATCCTAACCAGCGAGCCTGAGACTCAAGCTCATCTCATGGTACCATAAACATATATTTAAAGTCCATCTAATACCAGAGTATGTCATTCAATTATTCATTGAGCTGACATACAATTTATAATCCAGTTAGTCACTCAACTTATTCAATTGATATGACTTAACTACAACCAACTAATCCAGGAAGTCATTCAACTTGGTCAATTGATATGACTTAAACATAATTAGGATTCAATATTTTACAATCCATTCCTTTATTCCAATAGGTTAGGTCTTAGCGTTTTGAGCTAAACCATCCCTAGTATGTCACCGTCCCATACTGGTGCATACAATCTACAATATCCATATTAATTACAGAACCTAAATAACAGTTCAGCAATTAAATTCTAAAACCATAATCCAGTCCAAAACCATAGTCCAAGAAATTGCAGAATAGCGTATAATATCTCAGCAATTTAAACTCGAAACTAAAATCCAGTTAATCGCAGAATAATGTATAATTATTTCAACAATTAAAATCCACAACCATAATCCAATTCAAAACCATAATCCAGTTAATTGCAGAATAATGTATGATTATCTTAACAATTAAAATCCAAATCCTTTATTCATGTAATTGCAGAAAACAAGTTTAATCTTTCGGCAATTTAAAGTTCAGAATATGCATAGGCCATATTTAACAGACAAATAACCTTACTATGCATCTAAATTAAGATTCATAACTATGTTATATCCTGCTAAATTGCTAAAATTAAATTAGCAATTTATTTTCCTTCCATCCGTTAACCACATGCAAAGTTATTCACTTTCATACTAATTAATCTATTAGCCTACAAGCATTATTTGGATCATAAAAGATTTTAATCCCACATGAAACCAGTATTTAGGACCTCCCAGTACAGTCCCAAACAGTCCAAAATGCACCAATAATCCAAACAATACTCAAGAAACTTCCCAATATGCATCAAAATAGGAGAACCTGCTCTCAGAACTTGGGAGCAGGCTCTGTAAAGCATGGAGCCGGCTCCATGCTTCTTGGAGCCGGCTAAGAAGGCCTGGGAGCTGGCTCTGGACTCCCAAAGCCAACTCTGAAGATGAATGAGCCGGCTCTCTCCCTCTTGCATAGAGCCGGCTCTCTCCCTCTCTGAGAGCTCTGATGCGTTTCCGACTGTCTTCTTCGACTCCGGCCACTTCCAACCTTTCTGTTTGGTTTTAAAACTATTCCTAAGAGTCCTTACTGTATCCAGTATCATCCCAGACCATTACTTAAACCAGTTTACATTATTAAGAACCTTAGAACACTTACCAATTAAACATACTTAAAAATTAAACAGTGTATCAAAACTTGCAAGAACCATAACTAAGATAATTCAATGCATACAGATATTCAATTTAACATATAATAAACATGTACAATTCAGTTACTGATCCATTAAAATCCTAGAGACTATCTAGGTGCACAGAACACGGGACAACGGGAGAGAGAAAGAAAAAAACTTGCCTGTGATTTCAGTTATGAAATCTCGGCATCATCTCTAAGTTTTCGGCAATCCTGTATACCGTCAAGCCTCCTATTACTCTAGCTCTAATCTACGATCAACCTCCTTGGTCCTCTCTATTTTCCTCCTTGACAGCCCTTACGGTGCCTCTGTTCTCTCAACCCTCTCTTTACGGAACTATGTTTATATTTATAAAACCCTAAACCACCGTAATGTTAAATTTATAGGCTTAGAATAATAAAACCCTTGTCCAAGTATAATTAGAGACAGAACCCTAATCCAAATCCTAGTCGGCCACAACGTGTAATCTAAAAAAAAAAAAATCCTAACTATATTTTAATATTTAATAATTTATTAAACCATTTAACAATTCATTTCATTAAAGGAAACAATAAATTCCATTAAAGGAAAACAATTAATTCAATTAAAGACAATAAATAAATAAAAACACAATTAATTCAAATAATTCAATTAACCAAGCAACAAAATAATTAAATAATTAAAAATGCAACAAAATACTTAATTAAAATACCAGGACTATCCTTTTAAAATTAGGGATATTACAGACCATGCTACACCTTTAGATTAATTTAGTTAGGTAGATGATCCATGTCTACTGAAGATAGTTTGTACTAAATGATTTACTTTCATGTGCTAAAACTTACAATTTCAGAACCTTGATAGGCATGCCTAGGGATGATGGCTCATCCCACAATCTAGTTTAGGTGGATGGGCCATGCCAACTAAATATGGGTTATGCTTAGTTTTGAATTGTATGAATTTCTGAAAATTATTGTAGTTGTTGTATGCTTCTACACATTACAGTTATATATAATTGTTACTAAGATTATGGCTAATCATTTAGCTTTGGTGTTGCCAAAATTAGTTGGAAAGGAACAATGTGATTTTGTGAAGGGGAGGAAAATCCAAGAAGCAATTATCTTGGCTCATGAATTGGTAAGGGATTTCAACAATCCTAAGAATCCTACTATGGCATTGAAGATTGACATTAGGAAAGCTTACGATTCTATTTCCTGGGATGGTTTGCTCACGGCTTTAAAGAAGTTTGGTTTTAGGGAGAGATAGATTGGTTGGATTAATGCTATTTTTCAGTCTTCTAGGTACTCTATTTTATTCAATGGATCTCCAGCAGGGTTTTTTCATCCTGAGAGAGGGCTGAGACAAGGCTGCCCCCTATCTCTTATATTGTTCACTTTGATCACAGAATTGTTTTCAACCTTAGTAGCAGATGCAGTTCAAAGAAAAGAGTTAGTGGTGTTGAAATCTATGGCAAAGTACCAACAGCCTATTAGTCATCTCTTTTTTGCAGATGATGTTATTTTGGCTTGTGAGGCTTCAATTCATAACTTTACTGTTCTGGAAGGCATTTTCAGAAGATTTGAATCTGTTACAGGACTTCAAATTAACCATGGAAAGAGTAGGGTGTTATTTTCTAGAGCTTTGAGAAGAAGACATGTGTTGCTACAGGTTTTGAAATGTGCTGAAGATGATTTTCCCATTAAATACCTTGGGTTACCTTTAAGCCCTGCTAGGTTAAAGAGGGTTCAGTGTAAGGATCTGTTGGATAAAATTATAAAGAAAATTGTATGCTTGAACACAAAGCTGCATTCTCTTTCAGGTAGATTGGAGCTATTAAGGGCTGTTATTACTCCTATTTTCCAATATTGGTGTTGTATCTATGATATTCCTGTGGCTATTCTTAATCAAATTTAGAAGAAATGTCGTGACTTTCTATGGGGAAGTACTGAAACTACAAAGAAGATCCATCTACTCAATTAGAAGAATGTTGCTACTCCAAAAGCTGAAGAAGGTTTGGGGCTGCGGAAGCTATCAGATGTTCAAGTTGCTGCTAGATGTGTGTTAGTTTGGGACTATTTAACCAGCAAAGACAAACTATGGATTTCTTGGTTTCATTACAGATATGCTAAAAATACCAACTATTGGATTATGGTTGTTAGGCAAACCAGTTCCAATATATGGAAATCAATGGTATCTGTTAGAGATGTGGTGCAGGGAAATATTACATATCAGATTGGGAATGGCTGTCAAACTAGTCTGTTCAAGGATCCGTGGTGTAGGGGGCAATTTTTCAGTGATGTGTTTAGACACCGAACTGTTAGAAGCCTACATTTTCACAGGGATGTCAAGGTTAATTCCTTAATTTTGAATGGAGCTTGGAATTTTCATCTTTTACAAGGTGAAAATTTTGCAGCAGTGAAGTTGTTTTTGCAGAATATAAGTATTAAAAATGGAGAGGATAGTATGCAGTGGAATGAAGGGAAATTTAGCTTCAAAACTGCTTGGAATAGTACCAGGATTACTGGTTTAGAAGTGCCTTGGTTCAAATTATGTTGGGGCAAAGCAATGCCCAGGTGGTCCACAATTGCTGTTTTGGTGTTATTGGATAAATTGCCTACTATGTGCAATTTGTAGAGAAGGAAAATATGCTTGGTTCCTAGATGTGATCTCTGTCATAATAACATTGATTATAATGATCACTTGTTTGTTCTCTGTCTTTTAGCTCAAGGAGTTTGGAAATGGTTAGGTGAGGTCTTGGGTTGGGATTTAAATAAGTTCCAGGAGGACTTAACCGTTTGGGATTTGTTCCTTTGGATGGATAAGTTGTATCAACATTCTAAGCATTTACAAAGTCTTTTTGCTGCTGTTTTATGGTATATTTGGAAGGAAAGAAATAGTAGGATTCATAGCTCTACTTATTTTTCAATTGAAGCAGTGGCAAGGGCTGCTTTTTTGGAAGTTTGTGATATGCAGAGGATTAATTTTACTGATGTTATATTGTAATCCATTTGTTGCGGTCATATTTTTGTATTAGAAATGGGCTTTTTCATTAAAGCACATATTCTTGGTTTTTTATTTTTGTCTTTTCTCTGAGGGTATGCCCTTTGTGCTCCTGTAATCATGTTGATTTTTTGAGCAATATACAACTCTAATTATGAAATGAAAAAAAAAAAAAAAAACAGTTATATATAATTGTTTTCCCCAAGTTGATTGCATAGTAGCATGATTATGAGGTCTCGGTGAACTCGATTCCCTGCGCCACCACCACCGCTACGCAGGTTAGTACCGTCACCATTCCTCACCGATGCCGATTAGTACCATCACCGCCACACCCAATCTCCTTGTTGTTCCATCCAAGTCCCTCTGGTTTAAGCTCAGATGTCGCCGGCTTCTATAGACGATGCAACATGAAGCTCCACTGCTCTATTTCCTCAACCACAACCACCGCCATCATCTCCCTCCTCAACCACATCCGCGACCATCATCGACCCCGATCTGAATCTTTTACAGGATATATATACATATGTATATGTATATATACATATATGTTTATATATGTGTTTTGGGACCTGATCTGAACCTTCAACGCTTCGAGCGATGGTATATATCGCCACCGTCGTCGAAGAGAAGATGTTGCCCTTGTAATTGATGGCGTCGAGCGATATTAGTAGTTGGTGACTGTTGTTGTGGTGGCGGCGGATTCGACGATCTTGGCCTGGTCGAAGTTGGTGACTTCAACAATTGCTCCGTCGCGAAGTTGGGGTGGTATGTGTGTGGGCGCGGCGGTGGTCGCAGTGGGTGTTCAGTGTTGTGTGGTGGTGTTTGTGTGGGTGCGGCGATGGTTACAGTGGGTGTTGTATGGCAGTGGTTGTGGTGGTGGGTGTTGTTTCGGAGGCGGCAGTAGTAGGTATTGTGGTGCCGCGGTGTTTAGGCAATGGCAGTGGCGTTGGTGGCATGGTGGATATATATACATGTGTGTGTGTGTGTGTGTGTGTGTGTGTGTGTTATATATAAAAAAAATAAAAAAATAAAAATGGAAGGATGAAGGAAGAGAGAATGGAGAGAGGAGAGAGTGAGAGAAATGGGTTACTAAGGTTAGAAGGGTAATTTCAAATTTTAAATTGGTCGATATAAAAAAAAGGGCAAAAATGTCAATTCATTACTATTAGGGTGTCTTTAGTAACTATATGAAACTTGAGGGGGTGTCACTATCCAAAAATAGAATAAATTGTATAACTTGTATTTGTATGTTCTTCTGACAAACCTTAACGGGTGTTGTTGTACTTTACCTTTTTCTTAACATTTACACCACATATTCCAAATAGCACACGTTTTCCTAGATAAACTTATTATTAACTACTCCTTTATTTTTTTTTTTTTTTTTTTTTTTTGGGCCTTGTCTTTCCATGTGATCAGGTTCATATGAAACCAAGGCACACAAGTTTTTATTAATTGTATTCTTATAGTGGTAATTGAATTTTTAGTCTGTCCACTGAACTCCAGTTGCTTGATAAATTGCTATTAGTAGTTGAAGATATCTATTGTTTTCAAACACATGTCAGTGTTTGTGTTATTTTTTTGACTTATTATGATTTATAATTAAGTCTAATTGCTTAAAATATAAATTTTAATATTTATATCTTATGATTGAAAATAACTTAAATGAGAAATTGCAACTCCTTAAATTTTATTATTTACTCTTAGAAATTTGTTTATTGCTAATGAATGTGAAAAAGATAACATATTTTATTTCATAAATATTTAAAATTTAAATTAGTCAAAACAAGTTACTAATTAATTATTCAATTACTCAAAACAAATTGCTAACTAATTACTCCGTATTTGTAAAAAGGTTATATATATACTATTATCTATATCTATCAATACTATTATTACAGTTTCAGTTTTTTAGTAATTATTTATAAATATAAAAAAATATTTATTAATTAATATAAAAAGAATTTTTAAAAGAGTTTCTAATATTAGGTGTTTAGAAGAGTTTCAATAAAAATACTTAATAATAAAAAAAATTAAAACAGTTTCTATAAAACTCTAGCACAAATTACCTATTTAGTGTGAATTTTTTAAAAAGTTTCTATAAAATTCTAAGACAAATTACCTATTTAGTGTTTAGAAGAGTTTCTATATAAAAAACTTAAATTACTTATTTATTATGAATTTTTTAATAAAATAAAATATAATTAGATAAGAAAATATAAATATATACGTCATAGTAGAGTTAAGAGTTTCTATAAAACTTCAACACAAATTACCTATTTATTATGAGTTTTTTTTTTTAAATTAATATAAGGTCTTTAAAAGAGTTTCTATAAAACTCAAATTATATATTTATTATAAATTTTTTTAATAAAAATAAATCTAATTAGATAAGAAAATATATAATTTATTATTATAATGATTTTGTAAATTGTTATCATTATTTAATCTTGTAATCTATTTATCTTAATTAATATATCAATGTAATTATTTTAAGAAATTAATTTTAATTATCATTGAGAAAATAATTATTTAATTACTTTATTGAATATTAATTTAAATTAGATTTTACTCTTACTAGTTATTATTAAAAGTTTAAAGAGTTTCAATATTTATTTATTAATATAAAAAAATATTTTTTAATTGATATAAAAAGAGTTTCTATAAAAAATTAGCACAAATTAGTTATTTATTATGTGTTTTTATTTTTAAATTAATATAAGATGTTTAAGAGAGTTTCTATAAAATTCAAATTACTTATTTTTATGTGAGTTTTTTAATAAAAAAAATCTAATTAGAAAAATAATATATAATAAATAAATAAATAATTCATATTTTATTTTTTTTATTTATCTTATTATTATATTTTCTTGAATTTTGTTAAGTTAGCGTTAATCAGTCCTCCACCTATTGATGGCCCATCCTTAGCTGTATTTATTTAAATAATATTGAATCAGTTCATGAAATTAGATTGAAAAATAACCAATAATTCTAATTGTTGATTTTGATAAAAAAATTAAAAAAAATAAAAAAAAATAATATATATATATATATATATATATATATATATAGTGACGGGACGGAAAATAAATAAATAAAAAGTAATCATTAAAAATTATATCTTTTGACATGAAAAAAAAATTCCTAAAAAACTATATTTATTAAAGAAATGATCTCTTTTGTCAAGATCTCTCAAAAAAAAAAAAAGATTAAATATATATATTTTTTATCTCTATCAAAAATATTATCTCTTTTAATAATACCTCAATATATATATATATATATATATATATATATATATATATATATATATATATTTATGGAATACATTATTTCTTTTGAGATGATTCATAAAAAATTACCAATCAAAAATTACAAAATAAAATAAAAAATTAAGTGAAAAAAAGTTAAATTCATATAAAAAGACAAAATTACCCCCTGAATATTAAATTCAAATACATTACAAAATATAAGATCTTACAAAATGACGCAATAGCCCCTTATTTTTTCTTTTTTCTCTCTTCCTATCACACCATCTATGCTTCTCTCTCTATATCCCCTAACATATACGCTTGTGTGTATATATACACTTTACAACACCACCACCAACACCGGCTGTTGCACAAATGTAGATAAAACCATAACCTCTTCTCTAATCCCCAATGTTACCGCTATAAAAGTTGCCAATGCCAATGCCAATGCCCAATAATTCATCTCGTTCTCTCTCCTCTCTGTCCTCAACACCAAAGACAACCGGCAATTTTGATTCATTCACAAAACAGATAAAATAAAGAGGCCAAGAGATAGAGCACATGACAAAAATGTCTAAATTTGAGAGTGATTCATTTGTTATTTTTTTATATACCTCTCTCCACTCTCTCTTCTCTTCTATTTTCTTCTCAGTTTATATAGAGAAA